GATGGATCACAAGAGAAACCATTTCAAACTCCATTACAAGTATTTATCAAAACAAAAAAACAGATTCGATTTTTATTTATTTATTTTATTAGGCATATCGTCAACATGGCGACAATGTAACCATTTATGTTGATTCAAAAGATGAAACCAAAGTAAGATTTCATATTGTATATTTATTTATTACTTATTTATAATTTAGGGTCGATGGGAATTATTATCAAAAGCTCAAGCAAAAAAAGTTAAAACACGATATGAAGAAGAAAAACGCAAAGAAAAAGCTGCAGCTGAGCGAGAAGTAAATTACAAAAACAAAAAAAAAGAAAAAAGTAAATTCTTTTTTTCTGTTCCATTTATTATAGGAAAAGGATCGAATACAACGAGAAGAAAATTTACAAAAGGCAAAAGAAATTACAATTACTGAAGATTCATCATTACCAAAAGCAATAGTGGTATGTTAAATATAATTATTACAAAGTCATATTTCATAATTATTTTAGCTTAAAATCAAAGTATTGAAAAGTCAACATGGTCAACGAGTTAAAGTATTTGGTTGGGTACATAGAATTCGACGACAAGGTTATCTACATATATATATATATATCAATTTATTTTAATTTCATCTTTTCTTTTTTCTTTTATTAAGGCAAAAATTTAATGTTTGTTGTTTTACGAGATGGTACTGGATTTTTACAATGTGTCTTTACAGATAGATTGGTATGAAAGATAAAGTTTTTTTTTTTTTTATCTTCGTAAGAAAAGAATAATTTTGTTTCTATTTGATAGTGTCAAACATATGATGCAGTTATATTATCAACTGAAGCAACAATATCAGTAAGTGGAGTTGTTCGTCCTGTACCTGAAGGTCAAACAGCACCAGGTAATCAAGAATTAGTAGCTGATTATTTTGAAGTTATTGGACATTCACCACCTGGTGGTGCTGATACATTACTTAATGAAGTTTGTTTATATGATTTTAATTTATCTTTTTTATTATATTTTATTAACTAAATAGGAATCACATCCTGATGTTCAATTAGACAATCGACATATGATGATTCGAGGAGAAAATGTGAGTTTTGATTGTTTGTTTTGCTTATTCATATTCATAAAGAAAGCTGTCTTGATTTAGACATCAAAAATTTTACGTCTTCGTTCGATTGTTACACAATGTTTTCGTGATCATTATTTTGATCGAGGTTATTATGAAGTAAGTATATTTGTTAAAAGAAGTTTTTTTTTTTGAAAGTTTGTAAAAGATATTTTGACAAGATCTATAGTTTATATGAAAAGGCAGCTCGATAAATCTCTAATGATTTCGCAAATTTTTAATTTTTTTGCTTCTAATAATGCTAATTTAATTGAATTAGACATTTCCTCCAACTCTCGTCCAAACACAAGTTGAAGGTGGTTCTACTCTTTTTGGTCTTAACTATTTTGGAGAACCTGCTTATTTAACTCAATCATCTCAACTTTATCTTGAAACAGCTTGTCCAGCATTAGGTGATGTATTTTGTATAGCTCAATCATATCGAGCTGAACAATCTCGTACACGTCGTCATTTAGCTGAGTAAGAAAATATAAATCAGATATTTGAATTTGTATTTATTGTTTGTTTTTTTTAGATATACTCATGTTGAAGCTGAATGTCCATTTATTTCATTTGATGATTTACTTGATCGAATTGAAGATCTTGTTGTTGATGTTGTTGATCGTGTTTTGAAACATCCTGAAGCTCATCTCTTATTTGAAATTAATCCAGTATGGATTTGAAACAAAAAGAATTATTTATTTGAAACTGGTTTTTTTTATTTGTAGACATTTAAGACACCGAAAAAACCATTCAGACGTATGAATTATAGTGATGGTATTGAATGGTTAAAAGAAAATGGCATTAAAAATGAAGAAACTGGTAAATTTTATGAATTTGGTGAAGATATACCTGAATTACCTGAAAGAAAAATGACTGATCAAATTAATGAACCAATTTTATTTTGTCGATTTCCAGCTGAAATCAAATCATTTTATATGAAACGTGATCCTAAAGATAATCGATTGACTGAATCGGTATATTTCATTTTTAGTTATATTATTTTGATTGTTCAATGAATTGTTTTAGGTTGATGTTTTAATGCCAAGTGTTGGTGAAATAGTTGGTGGTAGTATGAGGATGACAGATTTTGAAGATTTATCTGAAAGTTTTCGTAAGAATGGTCTTAGACCAGAACCATATTATTGGTATTTAGATCAAGTAAGTTACACATTAAAACAAAAAAAAAAGTATTTTTCTACTTCTTCTTCATCTAGCGTAAATATGGAACATTTCCTCATGGTGGTTATGGTCTTGGTCTTGATCGTTTTATGACATGGTTAACAAACCGTAATCATATTCGTGATGTTTGCTTATATCCACGATTTATTGGTAGATGTAAACCATGAGAGAAAAAGAAGATAATATATCGTTATAATGAAAACAAACAAAAAGAAGAAGAATTGGGTTTCTTTTCCATTTTAATGTTGTTTCGTTGTTTTTTGTTTTGTTTTGTTTGTTTTGCGAAAAAACTTAAAGCAAACAAACAGATATAATAGCTTGTTAATCGAGGTCGAGCATGTTATTTCTTAAAAAAAGAAAAAGGTAATAAAAGACATCGTTACTTTAGATGAATTCTAATGTTAATAATGCAAGGATCGCAGCGAGCTGTGTTCAAGTTAGAAAAACAAGTAGGACAATCTTGTAGGAAAAATTAGTATATTGTAAAACCTATGTTATTATTTTTGTATAAGACAAACTCTGTATATAAGTTGACAGAGTAGTGATAAATTCATGATTGTTGGTTCCCTACGCATTACTTACGACTAGGGCCTGTTAGATACAATATTTTTGTACCCGAATCTAGTTAATGGACAATTTCAAAGCGTGAGTAGGGTCATCTCTGAAATTCTTTCAACCCAGACCCACATCCCACACCCTGAAGATCAAACAATGAAAAACAGTACAAATAGCATTAGCAAGAGATTAGGATTCTAGGTAGGCATTGCTGAATATTTTTCTTTGGACTAGAAACAATATTTAAGTTCATTAATTGACTTTATTACAAGTAAACAGATGAGAAAAACAGTAGAATGCAAAAAAAACAATTGCTGCTTGGCAAACGAATTTGTTTGAAGTATACTTTCACAGTTTTTAGACTTTCACTTGAGAGCTCTTGTCAAATGTCAGAGAATAGCTGTATATATTTGGTGAGGACAAGTCATTCTAGAAAGCGTTGATGAGTTTAATGAATTAGGTAATCATTCGATTGTCAACTGTTTGGCAACGAGTCTATGAGGCATATTGAATAAGTTGAGTGAAGGCAATTGCAACGTGGGTGAAATTTCCCGTATATCGAAGATCTTTGACTGTATTGCCTGACATAAATCTGTCAAGAACCAAGATCTGAAATTTTGTGAAGCAGCAAGACTCTCAAAGCAATTCTTGACTAATAAATACATTAAATCATTAACAGACCATAGACTAGCGCGGACTTCAAGTACGTTGAAACCTTATGACTAGTTCTTTATCCATATACTTGAAAGCGGATACTTTCAAATCTCGATGAATTGCAGAAATTTTTGCACGAAGAATGACATAGAATTAATGTATAAACTCTAAATGGTTTCATGTCTTGGGAAAAAGCATGATTTTTCATTTTTATTGATCCAAGAAAAGAGTGCATTTTCTATTCAATTTTGCAGTGATAGATTGTAGTATAAGCGTAATCTATCCATAAGCAAATTTTTAATATTTATCGTTTTCAGTAGAAGCAGTTTGGAAAACTCTAGCAGCAACATTTTTTGCATCCTACTGCATATTACAAAATACTTGCCGTTTATATTTCAAGTTCTTATACAAAAATGTGTGAATCACTGTAGAAGTTTAGAAATCGAAAAATATTTTTCTCAGCTCCTCGATCATATACTGATTACTTAAAATATCAACCTTTATCAATTACTGCATAAGATAATGACGAGACATCATTCATTTTTATATGTATATGAAATATGTATCGATTATAAATGAACTAAAACGATCAATAAAAATTGTAAATAATCACAATGGAAAAAGTTCTTCGAGAAGTAAGTGACATTCTTCGAAAAGTCATTTATTCAGACGTAATTAGATATCTATTATTTCTCAAAAACTTCTATATAATTAGTAGATGAAAAACTGAATTGTTCAAATAATATTTTCTGTATTAATTTTAATTTTGAAATTGAATAGTGCAATTACAGCAAAAATGTTCTTTTTTTTTCAATAAATTTCATCAATTAAATTATGTAAATTTTTTGAATTAATTTTATTATTATATCTAAACTTCTGTTATTTAGATATCTGTTTATTATTCTATAGATCATGTTACGTTAGAAGAACATGAAAAAAATTTTTTTTATACAAGTAACTGATACATTTATTGTTGATCTTATTGCATTTCAATCAATTGATAACTTCAAAACTACTATTTCCGAAAATATTTTTAATGAAGAATATCAATCAGTATTAGTATCAAAATTAATAAATTGTACGAATGAAAATATAAATAGATTTTCATTTATTTTTTGTTTGTTGAAGTTTTAATTGATGATGAACTAAAAAGTTCTTCTCAAGGTGTTTCATCAAAATTATGAACAACGACCATATCTATTGATATTTTTAATGATGAAACAATTGACAAAAGGAAAAAAAATAATATGCGGAAAAAGAATCTTAGCTAATTATTTCATTATTTACATTTGCAACACATCTTCACTACTCATTTAACTACATTAAGTAATAACTTCTTTTTGCATTTTGTTTTCTTTTATTTATTGTTCATTAAATAAAATATCTAGATGTGTATACCAAACAGTCGAAATTAAAGTATCAATATTTTAAACAAAGAAAATAATTTTAATCGACGAATAAAAAACACCAATGAATAAAATTTCGTAACTAATTATTTTATTATTCAAATAATTATTGTTATTTGATATTGTAAGCATTCTATTTCATTTTTTGACATGTATAAAATATAAAATAGTTATCTAATTGAAAAAGAAAATGAATTTAAACAAAAATATTTTCTATTAAATGATCACTTTTAGAAATATTTAGCCTATATTTCATTAAATAATTTGAAAATATTCTGTAAACATATGGCAATAAGTTGATTTTATTTGCTCTTGAAAAGAATGATTGATTACTTTTATTAGAAACAATTCACAAATATTGTTTTCATTATACAAACAACTGAAAGAGAACTTTATCAAATGTTCATGTAACTTGAGCTAATTAATATTCAATAAGTGATGAAAAGTTCGAATGACGAGTGTGAGGATGAGAGCTTATCGGCTTAGACTATGATTATATTCAGATTAGTTTCTGATCTGTTATATATTATTGAAAGTTATATCGAAGAATTTTGACAAATTTTAAAAATTTCAAAAACAACCCTACTATTCCTTTGATTTTTTGCGTCTTGGAATATTTCTACAGTTTTTTCGGCATCAAATCACTTGCATATAATTGTCTTACAGGCAAATGTATCATGGACATCTACCTCAGATTTTCCAGTTAGAACTGGTAACAAGTTAAATTGTTATTGACGTCAGTCGAAGGTATGCATCAGTATTTTTATAATACTCCAGAAAGCCGTAGTGGAGTAGTTATGGTACCTATAGCTTTCTATGCTAGACTTTTCTTTGTCTTAATTCCTTTATTATAATGGTAGAAAAACACTGCTGCCTGCTCACAAACTATAAATAAACCAGTAATAATAATATCAAATTCTAGTGAATGCATAGTCAGATTGGATACTCTATGGAGCAGTATTAAAGTGCAACTAATGCATCCCTAAGTAACTATACTTTAGTTGCGATCGAAAATTAGGTCAATTAATCACAAAATGATAGCATTCTGCAATGCGTCAAATTGTAGCGATGCTAATTTTGTTGATTTTCCGAAAATCGGTTCCTTTCGATCAATTAATCATTGCAAATTTCAAACGTGACTTGTGTCCTACTGGTAAAATGAATGCGCAATTCAGTTATATTACACTTAAAATAATAGATACAATATAGTATTTTTTTCTTGTAGAAATTAGATTATTTATCGTTTATCAAGAATATACTGTTTTTTTTTAATATGAGCAGTTTACTGATACTCATTTAATCTTGATAAATTTAATGAAAAAAAAAAGAATTGTAAATTGTTTATAAAAGCTGATACTCTTATCTTCTGAAATTTATGTTCCGAATAAACACAATGTTCTAACTAGTAAACAAATAGTATAGTTTTCTACTGTGAACATTATTATGAAACATATGAACTATGTTTAATTTCTCTCAAATATTAATTATCGAAAACTTTTGATAAGACTAAAATAAATTTTGAAAGAAAGACAAAGAAAAATTAATTTGATTATATTATTAAAACTCTGTTCATTTGATAAGTGACGATTCAAAGAATAAAATAAAATATGAAAAGTATGTTTTTGATCCAACGTACTTACTATCTTGACTGACAAGTCTAATAATTGATTATATTCATAACATTTTTCTATTGAGAATTGTCTACAATAATAAACTAAAGGGGACATTGATCATCTTAATAGTATTATTTCGATATAAATTAATTATAAAAGAAATCATAGACTCTGATAAACGAAAATGAAAAGTATTTTTAGGTCTTGATATATATATATATACAGTCAGCGACAAAAGTTTAAGCGAATTTATTTCTTTCATTTTTTCACACATACGTTTTTTCAATTTTTCTTTCACACGAAGAGGTACTGATCTGATTCAAATGGCAATATAGATAGTAAGAAAGGTCGACTACTTGATATAGTATTGAAGGGGACTCCATCTATTTATATAGATTTTTCATAACTAAATATAATTTTGTCCCAAGTGCAAATAAGTTGTAGTAATGTCCAATAATTCGCATTTCCTAACTAGGAGATTTGTGCAAAACGAAAAAAATAGACCAGTCGATAAGAAATTTCATGTTTTCTCTGTTTCTAAAAAACAAGTTCCATTCTCAGAGCTAGTCTTCACCACAAAAACCTGATTCTAACGAGAATATCTGGAAAAAAAACTGACTGGTTTTTCCATCAAAATAATTATACAAGAAAAATGAATCGTATTTCCCAAAACTTTTTTTTCAAAAAGATGGACATAAAAATCTGATAGTATTAAAATTTCAAATACGTCATTTTGTTCAGTTTTGAATGCACCTTTCAATGGCATATAATACATTGCCATGAGAGAGAGTATGCAGGAAGTAATTTTACTTTTTCCATTTTTTTCCGGCTATTCTCGTTAAAATCACATTTTTGAGGTAAAGATCAATTCTGAGAATGAAACTTGTTTTTTTTTGGAAACAGAGAGAACGTGAAATTCTTTATTGACTGGTCTATTTT